ATTACTGTTTTTCTTATACATTTTATTGTTGGATGTAACTGGGACCCTGCGTACATAATTTCGCTCCACCACATGTACCACATGAGGTGCGAATGACAATAAAGAAACTCTGACTCTGACTCTGACTCTGATGATAGTCTTTCTGGTTCAAAATCACTGTGCACCTTCCTTTGTCTGCTAGGAGAATGATGATGTTTTTGTCCTTGCTAAGAGTGGTGAGTGCATCCCTCTCCTCTCTACTGATGTTGGAAGGTGGTGGTTTGGCATTGCTGAGGCAGGCTGAAACTTTGATTCTGAGCTGTTCTGCTTCAGCCTCTTTAATTTTGTTGTTGCGGATGGCTGACTCAGTAGCTGTGATCATCTCCACCAGAGGAATTCTACTTGGTGCAACCGCCAAGTTCAGTCCCCTGGCAAGAATCTCTGTCTCTGGCTGGGTGAGCTGTCTGTCAGATAAATTCTTCACTAACTTTTCTGTCTCCGTGGCATGTAATTGAATACTGGAGTGTTGTCCTACACTGAATGTGTTGTTATTGGTTATTGGTTATTGTTGTTGTTATACTGACAGACAGCTCACCCAGCCAAAGACAGAGATTCTTGCCAGGGGACTGAACTTTGCGGTTGAACCAAGTAGAATTCCTCTGGTGGAGATGATCACAGCTACTGAGTCAGCCATCCGCAACAACAGAATTAAAGAGGCTGAACCAGAACAGCTCAGAATCAAAGTTTCAGCCTGCCGCAGCAATGCCAAACCACCACCTTCCAACATCAGTAGAGAGGAGAGGGACGCACTCACCACTCTTAGCAAGGACAAAAGCATCATCATTATCATAGCAGACAAAGGAAGGTGCACAGTGATTTTGAACCAGAAATACTATCATGAGAAAGTTATGACACTCCTTAGTGACTTAAACACTTATGAACCTCTGAAAAGAGATCCAGGAAGTGGTTACAAGAAGAAATTGATAGATTGCCTGAAAATTTTGGAGCAGGACAAGGCTATTGACTGTTTTCTGTACCACAGACTATACGCAGGGGAGGCTACACCTAGTCTGTATGATTTACCTAAAATCCACAAACAAGGTGTACCTTTAAGACCAATTGTTAGCATGATTACCTCTGTCACTTACAATGTTTCCAAATATCTGGCGTCTGTACTCATCCCTTTAGCTGGCAGCTCAGAACACCACATACAGAACACCATGGACTTTGTGGATAAGGTGAGGGATGTCATCATGGAGAATGATGAAACAATGGTCTCTTTTGATGTCACATCACTCTTTACGTGCATTCCTGTTGATGATGC